ATGTTCTTGATAGTGGCACGTGAGCCAAGAGCGATTTCCAACGGACTATCGGTAAGGTCCGTCCCTTTGAGGTTAGCCTGGAACAGAGAGCTCATCTGGGCATCTCCGGGGCCAGAATTCTCGAGGATAGCGAAGTGCATCCAGAAACTCCACATGTAAACAACCATAGGGATCACAATAAGGCCAATAATGCGAGCGACCCAATGTTGTGCATATACAATCTATGACACTATGAGTTAGTGCCCTCTCCGACAAAAAGACTTAAACGCACCTTGGGCATCTTAAGATCTCCGAACTTGTTCCACAAGTCCTCGATAGTGTAAAGGCCAACAACTCCGGTAACAAACAGTCCAACCCATTTAACACTACAAGGTCAGAAAGCACCGACATAACGAATCAGTGCAAACCTACCTGCAGACACAACCGATTGAGAGTCCGCTAAGAACCAGCCACAGCCACCACTGGGGCGAGAAAGACTTGGTTTGGAGTCTGTGGAACCGTGCGAAGCAAAGCATAGTAGTGAAGGTAAAGAACAGAAGCATAGAATCGAGCAAGATAAACCTGCTGATGGTAGCATACGAGTTCTCTGCATTGAAACAAGTATCAGCCCATGGTGCGTAAAGTTCTCGATCTCCAACATACCACACAAAACCATCAGAGTCACCAGCCATACCGCAGGCTTCGAAAGTTTCAATTCCTTGGCGGTAAAGTAGGCAAGAGGAACACACAGAGCTCCGAAGGTAGCATTGAAGACTCTCATGAAGGTATAGTTAAGTCCTTCCGGGTAAACTTCTCCAGACTTGAACTCAAAAGAGCCATTATACCCGGCCATCCAACCCGAGAGACCCACAAGCATCTTTCCAAGCGGAGGATGCACATCGAAGTAGAATTCGCGCTTAAGGTAATGAGATCCAAATTTTCCAAAGCTATCCAGGCATCCTTGTCAGCGATCGTGTTCTTCGAAAATTGGGCCCCTCCAAAGCCCCTTAAAATTCCCACGCAAGCCAGAAAAACTTCTCATCGAGAAAGAGAGAAAGGTGTCGACGTACTGTGCTTCATCCCATGTAACGATATTAGACTGCCCGATCTTGTATAGCCTCGTGAAGAAGGACAAGAGTGTGAAGAATATCGGAGCTACTATAGCCTCGATGTCCACATCACCAGCTTGATCCTACAATTACCGCAAAGTTTCACTCAGTCAACATTACCGCCCAAGCACAATGGAAAGGCCAGCTGCACTGTGGCTTTCCGGACAAGGCTCAGAAAAGGGGGCGGCGGTTGTCTTATTTTAGAAGGGAAAACGGTGGGATCAATAAGCGCAACAACTCACAATCTTCTGCTGTTTCTTAGTATCCTCCAGTGCTGGCACAACGATATCGCCTCCGACTAGTGATCCACCAGGTACGTTTCTTCTCCTCGTCCCGGCAGCATCCAACTCAGCACCTGTGCCGTAGGAGGCCGCACCGTTTTTCGACGCCATAGCCTAGACGCCGGGCAAAAGGTAAACCCTATATCAAAGACGAAGTTGTTCCGCAACAGAAAGAGGAAAAAAAGGGAGGCTGAAATCGAAGTTCCGAAATTCAATGAAAACAATAGCACGGAAGGGAAAGTGAGAGAATTAATAGATGGGCAGGTAGGCTTTCGAATGAGCAGGGTTTGGGGGACCCGGATGTCAAAGGAGATGGAGAGAGAAAGGGAGGGTATTAGGTGTCAAAGAATGAAGAAATGGAACCACGAAGACGAGTACACAGCAATCATGTATCGCGCCGGCAGACAAAAGCAGGGGAGGTGAAGACGGGAAGTTTTTCCAGTCGAAAGAAGCGAGGGATGGGGAGCGCGGCGGAAACCATAGAATTGATATGATACCGGTACGGTACTGCAGCCCCAAAACCCTGCATTCTGCTCCGCGCCAGCGTTTTTCAGCACGCGTACTGTATAATCCAGCACAATAGGCTGGGGGTGATCCAGACACGGTTTCCTCACCACCCATCTCAAGAAAAAGAAAGGATAATATCATATGCATACAATGAAAATGATGCATCACTCGATCCTCCGTCCTGCCACTTCCACCAGTCGCTCTTTTTCGGGCGATGATAATATTACTGTATAAAGCACAGTGGATACAAGTACCATCATGAAAACCAACCGCTTCTTTCCCTTCTACGCCTACCCATCCATTATAAATCCACCCTTTCTATCCTTGAGCTTTTATTTTCCGGGTATGACTTCCATGCTCATATCGTTCGGAGTTATCAGTACTCGCGCGGCCGAGTTGAAGCCGGGCACCTTATTTCGGAAGTGATTGACGAATGGATACTACGCCTATTCCGGACCTACTGAATAGGTCATATATCCGCTACAGATAGAGCTTCAACCATGATAAGAAACACGCATATTTACAACCTCACTGTTGCCTTATTGGAGCTGGCACAGTTGACAAGGAGGTCTATTCTCTACCTATCCATTGAAATTATTATTACCATTGTGAAGAATAACTCTCTGGAGTTTTTCGTGAAATGCGTGATACTTGTTATCAATAACCTCCTACGGCAATTCTTTCCAAGTACTAATTAAGATATCTTTTGCCCCATTTACAGCATGCCGGCTCGCTCCAATGAAGTTCCATGTAGAAATCTCATCTTTTTCTTAGCTCCAAATTGATTCAATCTGATTCAAATCGGGGGACTTTGAGGGCCAACTAAGAGTTACAATGCCATGCAACTTTATCTCCTCCTCATCACCTCTTCGTGCCGTTTGATGGCTAGGGGCATTATCTTCAACAAGATAAAGGTGTGGAACTCCTAGCCACTCCCTCACAGATGCCATCCAGGGGTATAGCTTTGGGCGTAATACTCTCTCTCGGTAAGAGACCCAATTTATTCCACCTTTGCTCATGAAATCTAAGGGAGGTTCACGGAACATCTGCTCTGTGCATCTCCATTTCCTCTTATACCGTCCAGCTTTACCTTTGACTAGCTTAAGTTCGTCAATGTTATTGTTGAAAGAACTGAGCTTTTCGTGCTGCCAGGTACCTAGAACCTGGGCTTGTTGTTGATTTACTTCTTATCGTTTGAGTCGTATTTGATTGTCTTCGTTAACAATTTGTTTGTGGCTTTCCTTTTCTTCTGCTGTATCTGGTTCCCAAACGTGGTATGGATCTTTCATACCCAGGATAATGGTGCTCCAGAACATAACACCAATTTGCTACTTTTTATTATCTTTATCATGAATAGCATATTTGTTTGCATCAACTCCTTGATATCATGAAATATTTCACGGCCATCAGGGTTTGTTGAACTCCACCCACATTTCATGGGTAAAAACAATCGTATTCACCGCAATATGTAGGGCCATATGAGCAATGGCCAAATGGGCTTTCATGTGACCTGCTGTGAGACTTGGCTTGTGAGCAGGGTTTCAGTGGAAGATATTGTACTGAGTATGAAAGATTTACTCTAGGGTAGAATGGGCAGCATGTATTCCTAGCTCATGGGTAATCTGCAAGAATGTCCGCTGCTAATGCTTTTCATCTTTCTGGCTTAGGTCTCAAAGAGCGATCGATTCCGATGAACCTGCAGGATATTTCTTGAAGTTTCCACTACCATGACAGCTTGACAAACAGCCTAATACATCATCAAAGTCCTCTGGATCAGCTGCCCAAGCCTTGTTTATTGTTAGTTAATCTTTTCGATATCTTTGTATTTTACACACTGGCACTGTTTTCATATTTTTGCTTTTCTTAAAATGTGCTCAACTATTGATCTTTTGAGTCTGAGTTTGGCAGCGACTCTGCATGGAGACATGTTTGCATACCAGTTTAGTGTAAGTATCGCAGACCATTTAAGAAGAGGAACTCTTGGAGCACTGCCAACTTCTCCAAAATATGTGGCTGGCATAATAAAGAGAATAGGTGTCACAAATGTGGCTTGGCGAGGAAAAGGTTTTCACGTGACACATGGTTATGAGTCACAGGCATGTTATTGTTTCACACATATGACTTATTCGAGTCATATGATTTATTATGTGTGGGATTTGTGATGCTTTCGCACATGGCTCAAATATGAGTTATAGGACGTGCGCCTGACGGGTATGCCTTGTGAGTGTGACTTGTGGGTATGCCTTGCGCATATGATTTATGTTTTGCACATGACCTTGTTATGAGGTCATGGGTTTAACGCATATGACTCAGTCGAGTCATATGACCTGTTTATTGTGTTATGATTGGTTTATGAGTTTGGCACATGACCTTGCTATGAGGTCATGGGTTTTGAGCATGTGACCACTTTAGTCACATGACTAGTTTGTAAGGATTTGGTTTTGTACATGTGACCATTTTGGGTCACATGACAACGGGTGGGAAGAACACTATATAAGGAGTCCGATGTGGCCGAGGAGGCTAGGTTCTTCATGCTTTGTTCTAAGTACTTTTCCTCGTCCTTGATGTCGCTTTGCTGTAAGCAATTCTTTTGCACCCATGGTGGGCCTTGATGCCTTGGATTCTGGGGGAGATATCTGAGTTCGCTCAGTAGTTCCTGGGGTCTTTAGTGTTGAGGTCTGTTGGCGTTGCATGGTGGATTACATGTTTGCTTCTCGTTTCGTCGTCTGATGGTTTCTCACGATACTGTCACTTCGAGCACAACAACATGGTCGCTTACGAGCCTCTTTCAGTAAAATGTCTTCAGCTTCCTTTCTATCATCTACTCACAGGTTTCACGTTCGATTGGGGGGGATAGAATATTGTGTTTGGGGGGATTACTCCTGTCATTCTCTGGGCCAGCTCATATTTGATGTTGGGTTTTAACGGAGTCCTTTGTTCTCACGATACAAAACACCCTTGGGTTAGACTGATGACCTTCCCAAGTTTTAACTTGTCGTACCGGCTAAATCACTCCTCAGGTGGCAGGGGAGTGCCTACCCAGCTCCTCCTCGTTATACTATGTTTCTATGGTCAGAATCCTACGATGTTGTTTATTACCATTCCCTTAGAGTTTTTGTTCTTGTGGTATTTACGGTGGTTCAGTCAGGTGTCTCCTCCTCACCTCGGTGGGGATGACTTTGACTCTGAAAAATCTTACCTCCTAGTGTGGTTTTTGTTGCTGCCTGGGGTGGTGTGGGACGATTGGCTGCCAGACACATGTGTAGTCTGTGTGTTTGTGTGGTTCGGTTGTGGATTGTTGTTGGCGGCTTCACCCATTGCAATTGGGGCCTACCTTCTGTTTGTCTGCTTCTGTTCTCTCGCCCTGCTCCTTCCTGTCACGTCAGTTGGGGGTGCCTCTTACCTGTCGTTTGGTCTGGGTCTCCTGACCTGTGGGGCTGGCTTCGGCTGGCTCTGCCTACTCTTCCCAACTTGGTTGGACTTCGGTTTAGCTGAGTGGGATGGTGTGGCTGGTGCCGGTGCCTTCGGGTATTGGTGCTGCCTTCCTTGTAGCTCTCAACTGTGGCTAGTGAGGCCCCACGGCTACAAGGTGCTGAGGGTTGGGGCTCTGTTAGTGTGGCCAAGACCAGTGGCTGCCTGATGGGGTTAGGTATAGGCTGTCCTGTGGCCGTTGGATGGTTAATCTGTCTGAGGGGCTAAGGGGGCTGGATGGGCTCTGTGGCGTCTGGTGTGTGGGGCTTGGGGGGGGCTGAATGGGGAGGGAGAGGTACCTGCAAGCACCGGTTAGGCCTGTGTCAGGATGGACGAGGTCTAATTAAGTGTTTGCAGTCGGGCTCGGGCTGTTGGATAAAGTTGCTGAGTGCTGTAAGCTCCCTGATGGACCGGCTAGCTGATGGCCACCTATGCAGATAGTAGGTTGTGACCACCTGGTTGGACTTGTTTGGGTCTTGTGTGCTGGATTTTGTGGGGTTTGGTTGGTTTCTTTGGTTTGGCTATGGGTTTAGCAGGAGGAGGCATGGCACTATGGGTGGGAGATAGGCCCCACTAACCTTTTTTGGTCTGTTACTACCTCTATGTATTTCCTTTGTTTATAGTGTTTTGTTTGGAGGACAGGTAGCAGGTACAGGTCCTCCTCACCGGTACGCTCCGCGGAGGCAACCAGGAAAGAAGGTTCATAGGGTCGATGGCCTTTGGCATGCAGGTGCGAAAGGTTGACATGTTGGTTTCCTCCTCCCTGCCATTATATTGCCTGTAGGTTTAGTTTGTGTATTTTGTTTAATTTTCTATTGTGGTGGAGGTATCACGGGACGGTATTTAGACTGGGTGGTAGTGATTTTATGATTGTTGGACGAGGAACCTGGTTGGGTTGGTCTTTTGCTCGGCTTCGGCTACGCTTAGTGCTGATTGGCTTCATACCAGAGGGGCTACGGACTTGGACTGGGGTGGGCGCTGGGTTGTTTGATGGTCTTGTAATTAGTTCTTGTGCGGGCATGACTCGGGATGACAGGTGTGGGGCCGTAGACTTAGTTACCTTAGGTTTAGTAGTATTCCTGTGTTGGCGGGGGCTCGTTGTATGCCAGTGTTGGTGGTACAAGTTTAAATAAAATTAGATTGAATTCTAAGTACTTTTCCTCCTTCTTTCACCTTATGTCAGACGTGAAGGTTCGGTGTCGATCCAATCAGAGCCCTTGATTTCTATCTCACGATAGGCTTCAAGTCTTTAACTTCGAATACCTTTCAGGGACTTCGTTGGTATACCTCCTCCGACGTTTGCTGGAAGTCTTTTCTTCCTTTTACTTATCCTTTCTGTTGTTCACTGTGGTCACCTCCTCACGGTTGTAATGGCCAAGTGAGCCTCCGTCCCCTCTGCCATGTCCGCTCTATGTTTGTCGGTGGTTCTGTCTCGTGCCGTTGAGAAGAACTTCGCCCTAGAGGCCGAAGTCTCTCGCCTTCAACATCACATCT